AAAACGTCTCGTGTTTATCGCCAAGTGTTCATAACATTCATGGCAAATAAAACGTGTAAAACGTTTCGTTTTCTTAAAATGTCTTAAACTGGGCTAACGATTTTGGTTTTGATGTACTTCAGTATTTGAAGCTCGCGCTCTGCGCGACTTGAAATTTTTCCCCGATCCTGCTGACTCACAATAGAGATATATAAAAGAAAAAGCTTACTATGAACTTCTTCTTCTCAATCCGTACTTGAGTTAAGCTGCGGATCCGCGTTTTCTCCCTCCGATGTATAGCCTGCTCGCTTCGCCATAAATCGACAGGAAAACTCACGGACCTAAATTTTGCTGATTTAAAGGTATATTGATGTCTCTTTGTATATTGTGTTTACACAGTGACGTATTACTATTGATCTGCTGGACACGAACTTTCTGAAAAGTTTTAAAGACAGACAGCAGTGATATAGGTAGAAGGAAGGAATCATTGAGTTATACTCTAAACAACCATTGAGTTACATACTCCCTCACTCGTGCCTCAACGTACCCTTAGGCACGTAAGGCCCTGTACACACATATAGGAAACTTAAAAAAAAGCCATTAAAGGGACACTGGGCGTTTTTCATTAACAAAAAATTTCGGAAAATTTCTATCGGGAATTTCTGTTTGGGAAAAGCGCGTTCCTTTTGTCACAAGTCCCGTTCGTTCACAGGCCCCTCTCTGTCGCTTCTCTGACTCTCACGCGAATATTCAAAATGGAGGCCCATGAGGCCCATCAGATGTTTGTTTTTGTGCGAAATGTTTGAAGTCTTTATAGTTAGTTAATTTGTATAGAGGAAGAAAGTTTGATTAACTCAGAAGATGATGCAGTAGATATCTTTCCAGCGGCCTCTACGTTCATGAGACGGAATTTGCAACGAACTGAAGGCTATTTTGAACACGCGTTGCCAGGATATTCACTCGATGAGTTTAAAAGTCATTTTCGAATAACGAGAGGCACAATGGAAGGTCTGTGTAGAGTCGCCCAAGCTACAGGAAGAGTGCCACGACGGAATTCATTTGGAGGACCACCAATTCCGCGCCAGTATTGGCGTTCGTGTGGTTTATTTCAAACTTGGAAGTTTTCCGTTCAGTTTCTGACAGGTTTAACGTGCACCGGCAAAAAAAGCTTCGAACAAGTAAGAATTTCTACCTACCACTTTTATATGCAGCACATTCGTGCTGCAATAAATTTTCTAGATCTGGCGCTAGAACGTGGCAGGCAGAGCACTCGTAGTAGCCCTGAAAGTTTGTTTGCAAAAAGCTTCCAGAAAACTGACCCTGATCAGCCGCCATCATGTTTGTTGAAACACGCGGGAGCCGAGGAAGGCCTGACCGCTTAAAAGACCGCGAAAGGCATAGAACTGGTGATGAAGACGAGAAATCTGTAAATGGGACACAAATTTTCCATTGGGAAGTTTCCACCGGGAAAACGGGACTACCTTTTCAGGAATTCCGTTTTTTCCGGAAAATTTTTAAAATTTTTAAGCAAATATATCGTGGCAGTGTCCCTTTAAGTCTAAGACAACGTTCACACTGCATCGGACTGAAATTTGAAAACGCAGCTTTATTTCTACGGTTAATTAGGCTAGGCCTGTCGTCCACACTAATGGGCCGTAGGGAAAGCGGCTTTTGAAAATATTATCCGGAGTGCTTTTGCACGAATCGAGGCAACAAGGCTTCGAGTCTTTAATCGATTGCCACAAGCCCCGGGTCACAGGCTGCCTTCCGTTGAACGGGAAGGTTTGGCCTTGAATATTTTGCTAAAATTTACATAACTGAGTCGTATGCAGCTTCACTATAACATTGCCATTAAAAATTCAAGGAAACGCTGTTTGATAACTTCTCCGTGGCCGCGACTTAGCTCTGGATACTTCAAATTGACAGGANAGAGCACTCGTAGTAGCCCTGAAAGTCTGTTTGCAAAAAGCTTCCAGAAAACTGACCCTGATCAGCCGCCATTTTTGTTGAGACACGAGGGAGCCCAGGGAGGCCTGGCTGTTTAAAAGACCGCGAAAGGCATGGAACTGGTGATAAAGACGAGAAATCTGTAAATGGAACACAAATTTTCCATTGGGAAGTTTCCACCGGGAAAATGGGACTACCTGTTCAGGAATTCTGTTTATTCCGGAAAATTTCCAGTGGAACGAACCAACAAGTCGTGTTCCATTTACATCCCAACCGGAATTTCCGGAAGTTTTTGGTAAATGGAAAACGCTCAATGTTTTGCTTGTGAGAAGAATATATGCGAACATGCGATAGTGTGATTCAAAATCTTTGCAGAATGCAAGGAAGATGTGTTGTTGGAGGCAGTAGCAGTACAGTATGCTTGGGAGGGAGCAATCCTCTTCATTCAATAGCTCATTCTCGAGGACACTCGTCTAGAAGCCAAAAAAAGTAAAGACCATAGTTACTAACTATGTAAAGACGAAAGAAATGTGCTGACTTGTGCAAGGACGGACCGAAAGAGGGAGCCATCGAGGAGTTCTTCGATCTCGGATTCGTCGCTACTGTAAAAACCAAGAGATTTTCATGGCCTGTATATTCTTCTCCAGCTTCTAGTGCGAAGCTCGACATTGTCGAATTTGGGATAAGCTGGGAGCCATCTGACTATTCAATTCAAACGAACCCCAGAGTTCCAGACCAAAACAATGGCAACTAGGTGAGATAATTATACGGCAAATTAAACGCATCGAGTTTTTTGGTCCTCGAAATAGAGAGTTTTCTAAACTAATTGTCAACGACACGTACGTATGTCCTACAACAAGGCGGTTAAGATTAGTGAGGCTTCAATTCGCAGAACTAGCTATGTAGTTTTGGATTTTGTATACAACCACACGCACGAGGTCAACAATCGGCAGCTGAGTTTCTCAAAGGCCCTTCAGCATACACAATTGTTTTGTTCTTTGAGCAACGAAATATATCCAGGTTACAAACTTAAAACGAATCAAGCATTGACCGAGTTTATAAGGAGAGTAAAAAAAACCATTAATTTAGATTCGACTTTACCAACGGAGATTGTAGCGCTAAAAGGAAAATGCCCTTGTTTTCGTCTGAAACGCAACACTCAGGTTATTGGCGTAAAAAGGTTTTAAAACAAAAACAAACAAACAAACCAAAAAATGAAGGAGAAATGTATTCATTTAACTGATACCATACTAAACCTTCTGCCACGATCTTTGATTACTAGTACGAAAAATGCAAATTTGTGTAACTCGCAATGTTTATGTTCATATACACTAATTGACTTCGTATACATACATACGGTCGGTCGAAGCCAAAAGACGAATTTTTCCGCGTTTTTGAATAGTTAGCGGAAAGAGGTTCGGTAGAGTACTTAAAAAAGTGTTTTATGTAGATTAGTCCTCTTGGTGTTCTCGCCGTGAGACGTCCAGGTTAGCGCCGGATAGCAAATGGTGTGACATATTTTCTGTTGTTGCTTCGCACGGGTTTAGTGGTGTTAGGGAATTTCAGTTTAACCTGGGAGTTTACCTAACCTTCTGATGTTGTTTGGCGATTGTGACGATTAGTAATGGTAATAGGACTGAGTAGAGTCCAATTCGGTCTGTAATCGTGCGAGTGGTAGCAAAATCGGACGACCGCGCAGCGGGAGACTGATTTGTTTATCACGAGTATGAGTACAGACCGAATTGGACGACACGAAGTCTTATTACCAATTAATCATAAAAATTACAATTTCGGAGAAAAG